CTATATATATATATTAAAAAATTAAAAAATTAACCCTTTTCCCATATTATTTCTTGAGAAATTTTATTTGTTTTAAATTTAAGATTTTAATGTTAAATATTATTTCTAATTTTTTTTATTTGAACGGATTTAAACTACGAAGAAATATTTTTTTCAAAGAAAATTAACATTAAAATTACTAACTACAATTATAGGAAACAAAATTAAAATAATTTTCTTAAATCGATTGATGCCTTTCCAAACCCTAAGAAAAAAGTTAAGAGAATTTTGAAGAATTTATTTTGCGCCCCCTCTTTAAAAAGTTTCTAGTTCGCCCGCAACTCACCACCTATAAAAACCCCCTCTCCATCCTTTCGTCTCTCCCCAGTATAAATCACCCTGCTCCGCAACCATGCAACAGTACTACCGAAACCAACTCCAATGCAAATCTTGATCGTCCACCTCTAACAGCTCAAATCACACCATCCATTCCATAACTAACTTTATCCTTTTCTATATATGTACCTACTGTATTAAAGCAATGTAATTGTGACAAATCAATTTAAAAGGTAATTTCTCCTGTTATCCTCTTCTTCTTCCTTGTTTATTCTCTTCTTCTATCTTGTTATTCAACTCTAACGCCAACACCCTCATTTCACGCTCTCAAAGCTCATTTTTTCATTTCTTCATAACCCCAGAATGGACAACGCCCTCCAACCCAACGGTTTCCTTGACGCTGACACCACCTTCGATTGTCTCAAACACTTTCTCATCCCCAAAGAATTCCGTCATCATGCCCACTGTCGTCGACTTTATAGTCGATTACTGCAATAACAACCAAATATCTTGTTTGGTGCCCGATTATCTCCACAAACTCCTGTCGGAATCTACTCCAAAGCAGTCAAACTCCAGTGAGAACATCCTTAGCAATTTGGCAAGCTCAATTATTCCTCACATAATGCATTGGATGAGTACCAATTACTATGCCTACTTTCATCGAGTGGAAGAATGACAGCTTTTCTCAAAATGCAAAAAATCAGACGGTTCAAGTTAAATAAAACCTTAAGGAATACTAAAATTGAAACTATTTACAATTTGAGTGTATGAGCTCGAGAAACCGTTAACTCCAGTGAAAATGGGATTGGAGAGCGTTCGGCATTCGGTTGGTTCTGGAGCGAAAACATGCTCACGAGAATGAAATAAGGCTTTTCATATGTCGGTTCGATATAAATACCAATTCCAAAGGCCTTCAAATAGTCATTTGATCGTTGATTATTAAGTTCTTAAACACCTGATGGATTTGACCATCAATTCAAATTACGTGACCATCAATTATTAATAACCGAAGAAATTACGGCATGACTTTCTCGCGAGTTATGACCGTCACTTTAAAATACGCTATGAACCGATGGTTTGGATCGTTGGTGATCTATTGAAAGTAAATTCACTCGAAACCCCGGCTAAACCTATAGGTAATTCGTTTGTTATATTAAACATCATTAAGTCATTGAAAATAGTCATAAATTTACTGTTATTTTGACCCCCAATTAATGAACTAAAGTAAAAGGACACTTTTGTAATGTGGTACCGCTCACTTACCACATCTCACCTACCGTTCACCTACCACTCACCTACCGCTCACCTACCTCCCACCTACCACTATATTGCTTCTATAAATAGAGAGGGTGTGAGGCTTAAGAGAGCAAGGGAAGAGATCTTAAGGGTGTGAGGCGTAGGAGAGAAAAGGGAAGAGATATTAAGCTACCATAAAGGAGGAGAGAAGAGCTAGAGAGCTAGAGAGGAGGAGAGCATCTTGAGGCCTTGTATCAAGGTGTCGCTTGTGAGGGAGGCCATAGAAGGAAGATGAGGGCTCATCTCTATGTATAAGCTATGTATTCTCCATTTCTTTTGCCTTAGTGAACTATTTGATTGATTCCCTCCGTGGACGTAGATCCAGTTGGATCGAACCACGTAAACGATCTGTGTTTGCTTGTGTTTTTTTTTCGTTTCATTTCTATGTCAGGAAGTACATATCTCACAACAATTGGCGCCGTCTGTGGGAAGATCCATACTTCTTGGCTAGAGGTGTCCGCGTAAAGGTGTTCGCGGCCAGCGACGAAGAAGAGGAGTTCGACATTCACGAACAGAGGAGCAAGCGGATCGCGTCGCAGGCAGCCGAATTGCGACAGATTCGGTGAGCAGTGGAAGCTTTGATCGACTGGATT